CGACTACGCAGGGCCATTTCAGAACTCGATGTTCTTAGTGGTTGTCGACGCACACACCAAGTGGCCAGAAGTGGTTCCAGTCAAGTCAACTTCTTCAAGTTCGACTATCGAAATTCTACGCGATTTGTTCGCCAGATTTGGAATTCCAGAACAGATAGTCAGTGACAATGGTACATAGTTTGTTTCTGAGGAATTCCAGACATTTGTCAAGTCCAATGGCATCCACCATATAACTTCAGCACCGTACCATCCAGCGACGAATGGTCTTGCGGAAAGGACAGTACAAACCTTCAAACAGGCTTTGCGTTCCATGCGTCAAAGCCCCAAGCCAGTGAGGGAGAAGTTGGCGAAGTTTCTCATAGCTTACAGGAACACTCCACACTCCACCACCGGTGAGAGCCCAGCACAGTTACTCCTGGGAAGACCATTGCGTACTCTCCTAGATTTGGTGAAACTTAACTTAAACCGTAAGATGGTTAACCAACAACACCAGCAGAGCATTAAGGCAGCGATTGACAAGGGTAAACAGTATCGCCAGTTAGAGATTGGTGACTCAGTTATGTCACGGGATTATCGAGGGGATCTGAAGTGGCGTCCAGGGCTGATTGTTAACAAAACAGGTCCGCTGATGTATGAGGTACAGGTGGCACCGGGACTGATCTGGCGCCGACATATTGATCAGTTGAGACCAACGGCAGTTGGACACACAGTTGAAAGCACTGACGCCGACTGTAGTGTTGAAGTCAGCCAACCTGAAGTGGCCAACACACCACTGACCCCAATTACATCAAGTACTCCAACCACTGAGGGCGGCACAGCTCCAGGAGGTTCAAAAAAAGATCAACCAAAGATGGTTCCTGTTTCCACACCTACGGTACCTGACCCTCCTGATGCTAAACCAGCTACAGTTAGTCCGATGGTCTTGATCTCTGAACTTTGTTTTATTCTGTTCGTTTTCTTGTTTAAAGGTCGTTCTTACCTTTCGAACTGTGGTTACCGGACACTGTTGGTTTATTTTATGTTTTCCTTGAAATTGTATTTTAGGGCTTGTTTTGAAAACTAGGGACAGATGGTTTAATGTGTGGAGGAATGTTATGGTTTTCCAGTGTGTTGTATGTTGTGTGTTACCATATATGGTTTGCTCATGCGCACGCATGAGGCTTCATTAAACAGTCTTTTACTTACCAAACCGCCATGTTGTTTGGGGTGTGTAGTTCTTAAGTAATACATGACAATGACTATGCACAATAGTCATTAAGATTCGGTGGGTCTAGGTCAAAATACTCTGATACCTGGTTGCCACATAAACATCTGAGGGCATTTCTTAGTATGGCAGAGACAACATATAGCTTTCTTACACTGCTTAATTCAATTTTTGAGTTCTTTTTAAAATCCAAGAACTTAAAGGAGTTTGCTATTTCTCCAAATAGCCATTCCACAGAGGACCTGACTTTACTCATGCATGTGCTATAGACTACCATCTGAGGAGTGAGCACAGCATTATGGAATGGGTCTGCAAGTAAAACCTGAGAAGGTATTCAGGGTCCCCATATACACACATTAGTTGTCTTATAGGTGAATGACCATGCCTTTCTAATGATGGAAGGAGACCAGAGTCAGCAAGCATACCTGAATCATGCTTTCTCCCTTCTGCAAAACAAATTTGAGAGACAAGGTGAGAGAAAGTTTATTTAATATGGAATAATTTATTTATCATCTAGTTTAAACATGCCAATTCTATTGATAAAACTGATCCATAATTTTTGTTGGTTAACTTTTGAGTATTTAAACACTCTAGCATATCTCTGTTTGTCCTCCTGCAAACACTTGAGGGTTTTGGTTTAAACAGTCAGATTCAGTTTTTTATCGGTTTTGATTGCCACAAAGATTGTCTTTTGTTTCATTTCTAAATACATAGGCAAAAATAGCTACACTGCAGGTAACTGTTACTTACATGAAACAGTGACAGGTTTGCTTATCATTCCATTTTAAAAATTAAGCGGCCCTGCGCCTAAGAAGTGACCAATGATTTCTGGCAAAAAATCAAAATCAGTCGATTTTTATCTTCCAAGTAGAGATTACCTAGTACTATTTCAAAATGAGTTTCTTTTGCTTCAGTTTCGCTTTAAACCAAAAATATCGAGCTGCGTGAGCAGAGGATTGCTGGCAGCGAAACCGCACTTGGCAAAAAAGGGCCTCACTATTCCTAGACTGGAATTAGTATCTGCGTACATGGCGGCAAACCTCACCGAGAATGTGAAGAACGCCCTAGAAGGCCAGCCAGTTAGATCAGTCCATGGATGGCTGGATAGTACTGTGGCTCTTCACTGGATCAGAGGAGAAGGGAGTGCCTACAAGCAATTTGTGGCCAACCGAGAGGACAAGATACGAGAGAAAGAGTACATTCACTGGAGGCAGGTTGGTACCGACCAGAATCCTGCTGATATTGGCAGTAGAGGTTGCCAAGCGGACAAGCTGAGAGAGCTGTGGTTAATGGGTCCAAAATGGTTGACAGAGCCTGATCGTTGGCCAGCTGAAGTATTCACAGAACCGAGCAAAGAAACCGAAGCGGAAGCTAAACTTGCAAAAGAAATCTTCGCAACTTCTACAGAGACCAAGGATGACTTCAATGAAGTTTTAGAGAAAAACAGTTTCTGGAAAACGGTACGGGTGACAGCATGGATAAGGAGATTCCTGAACAACTGCAAGTTGAAGAAAGCGGTACGACTCAGTGGTCCTCTAACAACAGCTGAGATGGACAGGCAAGACATAAAGAGGGCCCCAGCAAGCTATGAAGTGACGGAAAAGTTCAACAAGGACAAGTTAACCCTCAACCTACAGAAGAACAACGAAGAGTTGTACGAGTGCCGTGGTAGAATTCAAGGAAGCTATCCAATCTATCTACCATCAAGTGCAGTGTTGACAGAGAAGTTGGTTCTAGATGCACATATCCTGACCTTACATGGAGGAGTTAGACTCATGATGGCCTTCATCAGACGTGACTATTGGATACCTCAATTGAGGCAGCTAACCAAGAAAGTGATCAGAGGTTGTTTTGGATGTAAAAAGTTCCGTGTTGCGGCATTCCAAAGTCCACCTCCTGGAAACTTGCCAGTTGACCGCACCATGGGCTCATTTCCTTTCCAGGTACTGGGCGTGGACTATGCCGGCCCAATACCATACAAAATCAGTAAGAAGAAGGAAGGTAAAGCCTATATCCTGTTGTTTGCCTGTAGTCTGACCAGAGCCATCCACCTGGAGCTGTTAAGCGATCAGAGTACAGAAGAGTTCATTAAAAGCTTGAAACGGTTCATAGCCAGAAGGGGAAGACCACAAAGGGTGTACTCCGACAATGGAAAAAGTTTCATTGCGGCGGCAAAATGGTTGAGAAGCATCACGAATAACGAGAAGATGCAGGATTACCTGGCACACCAGCAGATTACGTGGCAATTCAACCTGAGCAGGGCACCGTGGTGGGGCGGTCAGTACGAGAGGTTGGTGGGGCTTGTAAAGCGGGCCTTGTACAAGTCTGTTGGGGGAGCGAGGCTCACGTGGAGCGAGTTTGAGGAGGTGCTCCTAGATGTGGAAGTTGCACTTAACAACCGCCCCCTAACTTATCTGGAAGACGATGTCCAGCTACCCACGCTGACACCAAATGCCATGATGTTTGGCCAGCCCAAGCTGTTACCAGAAGATGATCCAGTTTCGATTGAGAGTAAAGATTTAAGGAAGCCAAGTATCTTCGACGCTGTAAGGATGTGTTGTGGGCCCGATGGACCGGGGAGTACATCAAAAGTTTGAGAGAAAGACATAACCTTAACCACAAGAAAGAACCACAGATTAAACTCGGAGACGTCGTTCTAATCCAAAGTGACGAAAGAAACAGAGGGAAGGGGAACCTCGGAATTGTAGCAAAGCTCATCAAGGGGAGAGACGGTGTTGTCAGGGCAGCCAGACTGAGGGCAGGAAAATTGTTCCTGGAGCGCGCACTCCAACAGTTGTGCCCCATGGAGTTGTCATGCAACCGATATCAGGAGCCTCACGACCCAGTGTCAAATGTCCTCAACCCCAGAGCCAGGGCATTCACACCCAGGAGAGCAGCTGTTGCTGCAGCGGAACGTATCAAAGACATTGCCAGACAAGACGAACAATTAAGTTGAACAAATGATTTTCTTTTTGTGTGTATTTGTTACCTCCGGTATCAAATAGGGGGAGAGTGTCGTGACCGGAAGCGAGTTGTGTTACCTTTTCATGTTACGTGCATGAATTGATTGCGAAATGCGTGATTGTTACAATAGGCTATTCATCTTAAGGAAAAAATATAGAATTACAGACAGATGAGATCGATTTTAGAGAGAGAATACCACAACGTGTACCCACAAAGTGAGAGCTGTAAATCGTGAGAAATATTAAATCTGGTGAAAATCTTCATACGTGAGAGTTTCCTTTATTGGCGAGCACCATTTCCCGACATTATGCATGTTTGACCTTTGTTATTTAAATTTAATTTTGTTTCACAGGAATTATTAATTTAATTTATCCTTTTGTTATTCAAGCTCTTTTTTTAAAATTGGCATATATATATATATGTATTTTTGATCTCTATCCTATGTTGTAATGGTTTTTGTGTGAGTGGAATAAAGGTTGTAAATTCCACAGGTTATGGGCCCAGGAGTACATGAATGAAACATGGAGGAAAAGTGGTCGATCGACAAGCTCAACGGGAGCAATTGGAATACTTGGAAATTTCAAATGAAACATTTACTGTTGGCGAAAGGATTGTGGGGCTTGGTAGAAGGACCAGAAGTCCTTGCAGACGATGCCATGACAACGACACAAGTGCTTTACCGATCGAGGCTACAAAAGGCATTCTCAACAACTGTGTTGGCAATTGATAGCGCTCAGCTTTGATCACCTCAAGCGATGTGTTGAGGAAACATTTTGAATGAGAGACACTTGTGAACAAATTAATTTTAAAGAAGAGATATTTTCGCTCCAAGATGAAAGAATGTACACTGGTGGAACAAGATCTGAAGCTCATGAAAGATATCACCGATAAACTTGCGGCAATTGGGGCGCCCATTTCCGAAGAGGATCGAGTTGTGACTTTGTTAGGAAGTTTGCTGAGAAGTTTTGCGACCCTTATCACTGCTATCGAAGCAAGAGTGGATGGAGTTAGCCTGGATTATGTTCAGCAAGCACTCATTCACGAAGAAATGAAGCAATCAGAGCTATCCAGTCAGTTGAATGATTCTGAATCAGCACTTACGGGGACCTTTAGGAGAGATATGGCACACAAGCGGCCAACATGTTTTGGATGTGGTGGGTCATGTTTGCCGTAATTGTCCAGGCCATCCATCCCATAAGAAGTTAAGATGTTTTAAAGGTGGTGATGTGGGTCATATTCCCTGTTATTGTCCCAAGAAATTTAAATGGCACAAAGCAAAAATAGTCGACAGTGACAAGCACCAACCGAAAAACTCTGACTTCGAAGGTGAAGATGGTTATGCTACTGCATTTATGGCGTCTGTTGAGAGCATGGAGTCTACAAACAAAATTCGTTGTCCATGGATTATTGACACGGGTGCATCAAGTCATATGACGACAGAAAAGCATGTTTTGGTGAATTTTCAGGAATTTGCTGCACCTGAAAATGTTGCGCCGGGTGATGGTCGTGTTGTGAAAACGTTGGGATCAGGGAACGTATGAATGAATATGCTGTTTCAAGCGACCGAATCCAGGAAAGCAGTTTTATATGATGTCCTGTATGTGCCTAAACTCACTTGCAACCTGTTTTCTGTAAGAGCTGCAGTTTCTGAGGGCAACGCCATAGAGTTTGGTCCCCAGAAATGTTGTATTCGGGATGAATATGGAAAGCTTCATGGAATGGGATCACTGGTTGATAAACTCTATCAATTAGACTGTCAAGTTGCAATCACTACGGACACTGCGTACATCTCAGTTGAGTCATCTCAAGGTAGTGACTTATGGCATCAATGTCTTGGACATGTACACGAACTACGCCTCAAGAAATGTCTGGAGAATGAATCTGTACAAGGGATTAACATCAAAAAATGACTGAACTGTCCTATTGCAAAGGATGTTTGGCAGGAAAGATGTGTAGAAAACCGTTCCCCACAGTGGGAGATATCCACTCGATGCAAAGGGGCTTTGTGTGTGAGTGTGGCCAAAGCTACAAAGGCAATAGGAAGATACTGCATATATGTAGAAAGAGTAAATGCAAGGCTAAAAGACTTCAGAATTTTAGCCTTCATCCCCTCTTACCTTCGTTGTTACTCTGATATCCTGTTGCAGCTGTGTGCCACTCCTGTTAACCTACAATTTCCATTAGTCAAGGAGGAGTGTGAGGATAGGGTTTTTTAATAGTTTGATTCATTATATGTTACTGAGTGTGACATTACACATTAAGGTCAAAAATAACATTTTATAATAAGTTTAAAGTAAAGAATATCGTTAAAATACAGTTGTACTTCATCTACCTCAACTGCTTCCTGCTCTTACACTACTTAGGGTTAGGGTAGGGGGGGCAAAAAATCCACCAGAGAAGACTGTGTCCTTTCAACATAACCAAATCAATAGCACATGGCTTTCTTTAATTTTGATACTTTTTCATAATTCTCAATGATAGCAGCTTCAAACATTTCAAAATCAATGAAAGGGTAAAACTAATTTTTAATCGTTTGTCAGACCTTTGTTAAAAGAACATGTTACCAAATTTTCGAAGCATGCAAGAAAAATTATATTTCCCTCTCCACAACTTTTGGGATTGTAATAAAATTGTGTTAAGTGTTTGCTGCCCATGCTTTTCTATTTTTAAAAAGGCGACATCTTTTGTGGTCCATACAACAAAAAAGCAGAATTTTCTATGTGAGAAGTACATGTCCCCATGTACTTGGTACTTGGTTGTAGTAGAGGTTCCTGCAGGTGTTACTGATACTATGCTAACAGCGACTGACTTTTTAGAAGATAATGAGCATCAAAATATTCTCAATGTTGCACCAGTTGAGGGAAATAGACCATTAAGTATATTCAGAGATAAGCATTCAGAAGAATTAGCATATCCTGGAATATTTCTTGGCCAGAAAAGACCTGAAAATGAGCACCGTATGGTTAAGGTTCACTATAGTGATATCTGTAAATCTGAGCGGTGGCGGTGGTTAAGGTTCACTATAGTGATATCTGTAAATCTGAGCGGTGGCGGTGGCGGTGGCGGTGGCGGTGGCGGTGGCGGTGGCGGTGGCGGTGGCGGTGGCGGTGGCGGTGGCGGTGGCGGTGGCGGTGGCGGTGGCGGTGGCGGTGGCGGTGGCGGTGGCGGTGGCGGTGGCGGTGGCGGTGGCGGTGGCGGTGGCGGTGGCGGTGGCGGTGGCGGTGGCGGTGGCGGTGGCGGTGGCGGTGGCGGTGGCGGTGGCGGTGGCGGTGGCGGTGGCGGTGGCGGTGGCGGTGGTATGGCGGTGGCGGTGGCGGTATGTATGTATGCGGTGGCGGTATGTATGTATGTATGTATGGTATGGCGGTGGCGGTGGCGGTGGCGATGATGACAAATCTAGTAAGAAAGTCATTTTGGCCAAAACCAAGAAAAGAACTAAGGCAAGAATAATAAGAAGTTGTTGGTTCAGTAAGGAAGCTGAACCAGAAAAATATTATCGTGAGCTTATTATGCTTTTCACTTCATGGAGAAATGAAGAAACCAATATATTTGGTGCCTGTTCATCATATCAACAACACTATATGCCGCTATTCAATGCAGTTGAAAAGCAAATGAAACAATATGCTATCTGCAATGAAGACTTTAGTGAAATACAACAGGAAATGAATAAATTAGACAAAAGTTACATGTATGATACTATAGCACCTTGTACTCAGAAAATTGAAGATCACGACGAGACTGAAGGTGATACAGATTTACACCCTGATTTTAATGAGAACTACAACCTGTCAGATGATATTGGTATTCCCTCTGTGGATTCAAATACTGAGCCATTAATATTGAATGAGATGCAAGATGATGAATCTAGACGCATGGTAAAAATGTTAAATAGAGAACAAAAAGAATTCTTTTATTATGTGTTACACTTGACAAAAACTTCAGATCAACCATTCTACTGCTTTCTTAGCGGAGGTGCAGGTGTAGGTAAATCACACCTGACAAAGGCCTTGTATCAGGCTGCATTAAAGTACTATAATACTAGGGCTGGTGAGAACTTTGCTGAGGTAAACGTGTTGATGCTAGCACCTACTGGTAAAGCAGCCTATAATATTAAAGGGAATACCATTCACAGTGCACTGGCAATACCTGCATGCCAGTCATTAAAGAACTACAAATCTCTGGATTCTAGTCAACTGAATACATTAAGGTGTCAGATTGGTGGAGTTAAACTAATATTTCTAGATGAAATATCCATGGTGGGCAATACAATGTTTACTGTCCAAATTTATAATAGACTTAAGGATGTCAAAGGCAGTGCACTACCCTTTGGTGGTGTTAGTATTATTGCTATTGGTGATCTGTTCCAGCTACAACTAGTAATGAATAGTTATATATTCAAAGACATGGACAACTCTGAATATAGCATTCTGGCTCAAAATCTATGGCAAGAACCTATTCAAATGTTTGAACTGCAAGAAATAATGAGACAAAGAGAAAGCAAAGAATTTGCTGATATGTTGAACCGTTTGAGAGAAGGAAAACATTCCAAAAGAAGACATCATAAAATTTAAAGAGAGGTTAATACAATCTAATTATAGAAATTATCCAGTTGATGCTCCACACTTGTTTAGACAGAATGCCAAGGTCAATGAGTTCAATGATAGAGCGCACCGTGCTATATCAAGTACCAAGTATAGTATCAAAGCGCATGACAGTGTCATAGGAGCTCAATCACAGGAACTTACAGATAAAATCTTGAAACAAATGCCTAGTGATCCCTGGAAAACCAGACAGTTACATTCTATACTGAACCTGGCAACAGGAGAAAGGACAGAGATATCACTGAACACTAGAACAGATGATGGTATGACAAATGGTGCTGGGAATGTTATCAAGTTGATACAAATACATCATACAAACACACCATCTGGGAAAGTATGGGTTCAATTTGACCATGCACATGTTGGAGAGAAAACCCGACATGACAATAGGCAATTGTATGTACAAGGTATTGAACCAACATGGACACCTATAAAACCTGTCACTACTCAGTTTGGTGTTGGTAGAAATAGAACTATTCAAGTCATAAGGAAACAGTTTCCACTAAGACCTGCTGCTGCTAAAACCATTCATAGGTCACAAGGTGACACAGAGACAAGGATTGTTGTCGACTTTGATACTAGAAGAGCAATTCCTCGTATACATTATGTAGGACTAAGTAGAGAAACAACAATAGAAGGCCTTTATATCACTAACCTCTGTGAAGACAAAATAGCTGTTAGCAATGACGTACGCGCAGAAATGAGTAAACTAAGGACTGAATGCAAACTTCATTTATGTGTTACACCTGTCTATAAAGCTGGAAAAAGACCCTTTAAACTATGTTATCTGAATACACGGTCTTTACATTAGCATTTTGATGACATATACAGAGATTTCAATTATACCAGCACTGATGTAAATGTTTTTGCTGAAACATGAATTTGTACTTTAGACACAAATGATATGTATAACATAAATGGCTATAGTCTATTTAGAAATGATGGCAAATCAACTGCCAATAATATAAGACCATATGGAGGTACAGCAGTTTATAGTCAAATAGATTACCCTGGCTATCCCTACTCCAGCAATGGTACTGGTATTGAAATAACTGTAATGCGATTTTTGAACCTTCCACATATTAGTATCAGAGGACTTTATAGGTCACCAAGAGTACCAGTGATGCAATTATGCCAAGAATTGAGAAGTTTTGATAAACTGTCAACTCGTGACAATATATTTATCGGTGACTTTAATATTAACTGGTTTAATGAAACACAAAGAGCACCTCTTCAACATCTGTTTGCAAGAAATAATTACAGACAACTTGTATCCTGTTCAACTACTGATAACAACACTTGTATAGACCATATATATACTAATCTACCAGAAACAAATTGATTTCCTTATTTTAGAGACATACTTTTCTAATCACAAAGGTATCTGTGCATTGGTCAATAGTTTTTAAACAAACAACTTGCAAGCATTCGCAAGCATACTTAAGATGAGAATCCTTTATTGTTCATTATTGCTTATGCTAACAGGTAACAATAATTACATTTTCAGAAGTTTTTACTGATTCATTAGCCAATGCCAAAAATATGTGGTCTTAATCCAGAATTTCAGTTTATGGTAGGAAATTGCTGCATTAATATTGTTTCCAACTTGTAAATTCACAATATTGCTTTTACAGTTTACTTGGTGCAATCAACTCACACAATGGATAAAGCACCTACTGATAACTCCAGGTAAGTAAAAACATCTTTTGATTTTCTGTTTTTCTCAAATCAGAACTTTTCCCACGTGTATTTAAAATTAAATGGCTTAATTAAGATCCAAATGATCCTTTTCCCCCAAGCACCAAAGCAAGCAATTCAGGAGAAGGTAAGCGCAGTTAAATGTCGCCTTTAATATGACGCTTGAAGATATTAATAAATTTAAAACATGTTCAACCACACCAAAAATGATAATTCAGAGCCATTTTTCCATTTTAATGTTT